CCTTTAATCCCAGCACTCAGGAGGCAGAGCCAGGCAGATTTCTGTGAGTTCAAGGCCAGTCTGGGCTACCAAGTGAGTCCCAGGAAAGGCACAAAGCTACACAGAGAAACCCTGTCTCGAAAAACCAAAATAAATAAATAAATAAATAAATAAATAAATAAATAAATAAAATCTTTTAAAAATCAAGGTCAACCATTTTTTCTGATAAACCAACTCTTTAAGGAAAAAGTAGGAAAGTTATATCTTTGTGACCTGACATAACTACCCAAGGACATAGCAGCCTTCCACCAGCCTCCTCCTTATGTGACTGAACATAGTGGGTCCTCCCTTAGATGATTGCAAAGACGAGACTAGTGATAAAAGTGAAGAACCGTTGTTTGAACAGTGAGGAGAGCACTAGGAATGTTCCCTGATAGTGTCTCTCCCCAAATAAAGAAAGAAGGGAATTGTATTGGGGAGACTCGTGCAAGTTTTTCCTGGAAAGACCCATCACTGCATATAGAAGAGAATGTTTTTCTGCTGTATGCATTTGGAGATCATGCTTTACGTATTTAAAAAGTTTGCCCTTAGCAACCCAGAAGAGTGGCTAGGCTGTTTGGGCTGCACTAAACTTGGGGGGAGGGGAAATGTGCTTTAAGGGGTGTAGCATCTCCCCCCTCTGCCTCTGCAGACGCCAGTGTCTAACCCTGAGTTCCCACCTCGCCAACCACAAATGAGACACTCTTGATCACGGAAGTTATTTTCTCAGTTGGCCTTTTTTGCACACTTTGCTACACTTTTGTTCTGTTGTTACTTTTAACTGCTTAATTCCTTTTCCTTTAAAAGGTAACATGGTGTGTAAAGAAAAAAGCTCAACCTCTGTAATTCCTGCTCAGCATAGCAGTTGTTTCATTTGTGCAGATCAGTTTCAGCCCTCATCTGCACGTGTTCCTCTAGAGTGTGTAGCCAGAATCACAGTTACTTGGATGCAGCTAGAACTCCAGGACACGTGACCATTGTCATTCGGTACATGGAAGCGTATTCGGTTTTTATAGTAGCCATATTGTCCTTTGGCGAATTCTCTTGACACTTTGAAAGCTTGTTTGTATTGTGTAAGCAGAGCTAACTGAGTTAGCCTTCCATTTTGATACATTATGTACCCAAAAGGTTTATGTTCATACAAATTTAGAACTGTAAAATTGTGCTAGTTTTTAAATTTTGAAACCTTTCTGTTAGAGTTCTGTAAATAGGCATTACTTTAATGAATAAATTATTCTGTGTGCTAAATGAAATTAAATGATATGTTTGGAAATTGTAAGGCTTTTATGTTAAACTGTAGCACAAATTATTCTTGATGTCAGTCTGTTGACTTCACTGGATTTTAGCTATGTTTTGTTTTAAATTTTTGTTGTGGTTGGGAAGGTTGTTATTATTTATTATGATTCAAACAAACACTGATGTAATTCATTTTTAACCTGCGTTGGATAAAAGTTGTGGTATCCACCTGTAATCTCAATACCCAAGCTAAAGCAGGACGATTCCTGTGAGTTCAAAGCCAGCCTAGGCTACATAGACTTATCTCAATAGAGAACAAAACAATCCATTTCCTTTATAGAAATGCTGGTGTTTGAGGTGTTCCCCTAGCAGGCTCTCTGCCGCCCTGTGTTCTGTCCTACTTGTAGACTAAAGCCCAGTTAGTAAAGTATGAATCTGCACAATCCAGACAGGAAGATATTTAGCATCCTTCATTTGTGTTTCAAATGCAGGAGGGAATATATACACAAATAGCCATCTCTCTAGCCCCGGAATCCTGAGTTTTGAAGCAATATTGAATCCTCACAAAAGTTCTATGAATAATGATTCTCAACACTAGAGCTCTTTATTCAAAAAAAGAGGTATTTTCCCATAAGGAAAGAAGTTACTAGAGGTTTAAATAGTTATCCATAATTTAAAAGTTTTCTATTATAATCAGTATAAGCATCTATTGACTGACATTTTAAAAATTTATTATTGGGTGGTGGTGGTGCACGCCTTTAATCCCAGCAGCACTCAGGCAGAGCTAGGCGGATCTCTGTGAGTTCAAGGCCAACCTGGTCTATGGAGCGAGATCCATGACAGGCACCAAAACTAAACAGAGAAACCCTGTCTAGAAAAAGACAAAGAAAAAATTCTTTAGCTGGAAGGTGGTGGTGCACGCCTTTAATCCCAGCACTCGGGGAGGCAGAGCCAGGCGGATCTCTGAGTTTGAGGCCAGCCTGGTCTACAAAGTGAGTTGCAGGAAAGGCACAAAGCTACACAGAGAAACCCTGTCTCAGAAAACATATATATACATATATATATAATTACCTCAGTGTTTTATATGTTTTGCCTGTATGTATGGGGATCAGAAGAGAGTGTTGAATCCCCTGGAACTGAAGTAACAGGCAGTTATGAGCCTCCATGTGGGTTCTGGGAATCAAGCTCAGGTCCTGTGGAAGAGTATCCAGTGCTCTTAAGTACTGAGCCATCTTTTCAACACCCTAATATTTTCATTTCTATTTAAAATTTTTTTTCATACAATGTAGTTTGTGTATGACTTCTCCCAGATCTTCTCTCCCTACCCACTCCATGTTCTTTCTCTCGGAGGAAAAAAAAAAAACCTAACCAGAAAAAAAACATGGCGTCCATTTTGTGTAGGCTAACTGCTCCTGGAATGAGACTTGCCCTAGAGTGGATGACATACCCAGTAACACACCACTGGAGAAAATATCAGTTGTAAATAGTTTCTTGGTTACAGGTAGGGCTTTGTGTCCACATCCTCTTCTCAGTGCTGGGATTTTGTCTGGTTTTAACCTTTGCAGGTCTTGTGCATTGCTGTCACAGCCTCTGTAGTTCATATGTGTATCAGTCCTCTTATTTCTGGAAGATACTATTGCCTTGGAGTCATCCACCACCTCTGGCTCTTACAATCTTTCTACCTCTTCTTCCACATAGATCTCTACATCTTGAGAGGAGGGATTTGATGAAGACATTTGATTTAGGGCTGAGTGCTCCAAAGTCTTTAACTCTCTGCACATTGCCCAGTTGTGGGTTTCTGTGTTAATCACCATCTACTGCAAAAAGAAGCTTCTCTGATGAGGGTTGAGCAATGCTCTGATCTATGGGTGTGGAAATATGTCCTTAGGAGTCATTTTATTGCTGTCCTTTAGCAGAATAATAGTAGTAGGTTTTCTCCTAGGCCTGTGATCTATTTAATCCCAGGTATTTTTCCCTTTCCGCAGGGTCAAAATATGTCTTCCATCTCATGGAGTGAGTCTTAAATCCAGTCAAACGTGGTTGCTTACTCCCATAACATCTGTGCCACTATTACATCAGTATATCTTGCAATATATAAGGTCTTTGTTGTAGCTTGCAGGGTTTGTAGCTGGTTGATGCTGATGACTACTTTTCTCCTCCAGCATGCAAAGTACCTTACAGCACTATGAACACTGGTCATTGGGGATGAAGCTTCTAGTTAGGCACCAGCCTGATTTCTCAGTGTTTGATGGCATAAGAAGTTGTGTCTTCAGCAACAGGGCCTTACCATTCAGTTCTGGACAGTAAACAATAGCCTTGGCAATTGCCTGTGATGTTTAGGGAAATGTCCATGTAGCCCAGCCCGCTAACGTTTTTATCTTACACTTGGGTAGTCACAGATGGTTGGGTCGTTTGTGAGCTGTCCTCTTACGAATAAGACCTGATGAGAACTGTGTTCCAAATGCTGGGTAAGCATAACTTACAAATATGCACAGCTTGGATTGTTGCCTAAAATTTTGCAATCTAACATTTGACATGATTTCCCAAGAACCGTGTGTATGGATTTAGAGTCCTAAAAATATCCTGCTTTGGGCGAGCTTTGCTGACGATTGAAGGATTGACGTCTCCCCCACTTGTGGTTATTTCCTTCCACTTCGAAGTACAGCTGTAGTCTTGCTCTTCCCTGCTACTCCTTCCTGGGCCAAAAGAGTGAACGAAGGAGCATCAGGATCTTTTCTTATAGAAGGATTTGTTCTGCTCTCCTCATCCACTGTTGCTAGTGTTTGAAGGTAGACCACAGGAAAGTGGTTCACAGTGGGACCGCTGGATGACCAAGTCAACCTTGAGGAGGCTGTTGCTCAGAGATGGAATCCTGCTCCTTGCTAGCTGCCGTATTGGTGATGGTGCTACAGTTATTTAGAAAATTAGGAGAGAAAGGTGATGTCTTTGGGGCTTCTTCAAATTCCAATATAACATCTGCTTGTAAAATAGTTTATTAAACATTTTCTGCTTTATAAAATTGCTAGGAAAGTTTATAAATTCAGCAGCCTTTTGAAATTCTGATAAAAAAGGAGATTATCTAAATTAGG